ATGCATCTGGTTGTACTTAGGGTGAGGAGCAGGGGGGGCTGGCCCGGCGCCCCCGCTTTCTGTTCCCGCTCCGGGCTGCACCGGCAGCTGTCAAAGGCGGCGGGGAGCCCCCAGCCCCCCATCCCAGACCTCCCCCTCCATTCCATCCCACCACAGAGCCTGACCCATCCTGCACCCCCATCCCACCCCCCATCCCCGAACCCGCACTCTGCACCCCGGGGCTTTCTCCCTCTCCCTCTCCCGCGGCCAAAGCTCGTCCCAAAGCCGGGACACCCGCGCCGGGCTTGGGGTCTCTCTTCGCCGGGACAGCGGGTCCGGAGCTGCTCCCCAGTTTTGGAAGGGCTGGGAACAAACTGGGCGCTGCGGGGGGAAATCCCTGTCTCCCAGCGCGAGCTAAAGCGGATGGAAGGATTTGGGGAGGGGGGAAACTGAGGCACGGGAGGGCCGTGCAGGGCTGAGCCCGGCGCGAGGGCCGGGGTCTGGCGGGGGATCACGTTTCTCTATACTGGCATTGTCTGCGCTGAGAGGCGGCTGTTGATATAACTCAGTCTACACGAGGGCTTTTTTCTGGCCAAAAATCCTTCCCTTCCTGCCCTCCCGGGCTGAAACAGCAAGGCTTGCAAAACCGTCCGGGCAGAGCCGGCTGGAGCCTTCCCTCCTCTCCCGCTTCCTCATCCTGAGCGGCGGAGACGAGGCTTCACCCGCATTAATGAGCGCTGTCCTCTCCTCGCCCCGCACCCCAAGACCCCCCCTCACCTCCCGGGGCCGGCTGTTGCCCCCTTTCCCATTCCCGTCCTGCCTTTATGGGATCCTGATGGGATTTAATGACGGGAGCTCTTCCTGCGGAGCCGGGGTGGGGGTGGTGGTGGGGGGATCAGGCCGTGCCACGCCGGGGATTCACCCTCCTTTGGCTCCACAGGACCGAGATGATGAAATTCAGTTTTCTGGGAAGCCGGAACCCTCTGGAATCCTCCTGACCTTCCCCGTGGCTTCCCCCTGCCCCCCCGCTTTCCCCCCGGCACCCCATGCGAGGGTTTGGTTCAGTTTTGGGGTGTTGAACCCCCCCTCTCGAGCTCTGGGCAGTGCCAGAAACAGCCAAGCACCGAAATTTTGCCACCGCCGTGGCTCCGGGAAGGGAAAGCACCGGGAGAGGGATTTGTGCTCCTCATGCCAGAGGTATCCTGAGGCCATCGGCTGCC